GTTGCCGCCGTGCAGCACTCGCCACCGGCGGTCATACCTCATCTGAGTACAAAAATCTGAATCGCGCTGTACGATCGGCCATCAGACGCGACATCCGGCTAGACATTCAGCGGCGGATCAATGATGGAGGTCCAAATTCCACATGGCGAGCAATAAGGTCTGTTGTGGGCACAAAACAGGCTGATAGAAATTTACCTACAGCAACGGCTGATCAGCTGAATGAATATTTTGTTAGCGTTGGCCCACGAGCGGCGAGCGAGGCAAGGAACTCAGGGCCGACCCCTGACCTCCCATGTCGCCTACCGCGGGTGGGTGCCTGTGCATTTAAGCTCACCCCACTGACTCTCCCAGAGCTGCGTGATGTGATATTTCAGATGAGCGGATCATCTGCCAGTGGCCAGGATGGCATCAATATCCACATGATCCGTATATCTTTTGCTGCAATTGGCAATGTGCTCCTGCACATTGTCAATTCTAGTATTTCTCTATCTGAAGTACCTTCTTCTTGGAAGCATTCACTTGTTTCTCCAATTTTTAAGTCAGGAGAATCCTCTAAACCATCCAGTTATAGACCGATTTCGGTAGTTCCCGTGATCGCCAAAATCGTAGAACGAGCCGTTCACCAGCAAGTTTACAGTTATGTTTCTAGTAATCATCTTCTTTCCTCTACTCAACATGGTTTTCGTCCACGCCATTCAACCGAAACAGCTCTGCTGACCGTCTCTGATTATATCCTCTCCGCTAATGATCGAGGAGAGCTTTCATTCCTGTGCATGCTTGATCTAAGTAAATGCTTTGACGTAATTGACCACTCCAAACTCCTAACAAAATTACAGCTACATGGGATTGATGTCTCATGGTTTTCAAGCTACCTTATGGGCCATATGCAAAGTGTCACATTTTCTGACAGCTTGGGAAACCTCCGATGCTCCAAGCCGCTCCCTAATAATATCGGTGTATTTCAGGGCTCAGCGCTAGGTCCATTGCTTTACTGCATTTTTGCAAACGATCTCAGTCTATTTGCTGATGATGCGATGATCGTGCAGTATGCAGATGACACACAAATTTTAGTCAGTGGTAAAAAGGCGGAATTCAATCTTGTTGTTAGCAGGCTGGAACAAGTGTTGGAATCTCTGGGGTCATGGTTCCGAGCTAACGGGCTCAAACTTAATTCTGAGAAAACTCAATTAATGTTGTTAGGTAGCCCACAGAATTTGCGAAACATTTCCAGCTATGTTGTAAAATTTAATAATTGTAATTTGACTCCTGTTTCCGAAGCGAGGAATCTTGGAGTTCATTTTGACTGTGCCCTTAGCTGGGACACTCATGTTTCTGTTGTTGTGCACCGTTGTTTCGGAATTCTTACCGGATTGTCGCAATTGAGGGGCCATTTACCGCCATCTACCATTTCTATTCTAGTGGATGCCTTAGTTTTATCTCATATCCGCTACTGTTTATCCGTTTATGGTAATACCACAAACAAAAATCTTCTTCGGATTCAGAAAGTGATCAATTATGCCGCCAAAGTCATTTTCCGTCGCAAGAAATTTGACCATGTGTCCGATCTGCTTCAACGTTTGGGTTGGTTGAAAGCTAATGAGCTCGTCCAGTACCACACTATGTGCATGGTTCATAGAGTACGTCGCGCAGGCGAACCTGAAGCACTGGCTGAAAATCTCATTAAAAGCTCAGAGACCCGTGACCGCAATACTAGACAAAACAACACATTGTACGTACCAATGTCACATACAGAGATGGGACGAAGGCGTTTCTGCTGTCGTGCACCTCGCCAGTATAATGCGCTGCCACATGATCTGACGTTACGCTCGACGCCAGCTTTCCGGAGTCACTTAGTAAGCCACCTATGTGACAGTCGCACCGTGACTGGGCAAGAGTGACGTGGTCCGATGTCCGAACTATTAGAGCAATGACTATCGAGCGATTGTTGTTAAATGTGGATGATTCGTCTCGTGTGTGTATAAGATGTGCTATATTTTACAGCAACCTAGGCGTGGTTTATGATAGGGCAGGAAATGCTGTGTACATATGTTGCATGCTTTGTACTACATAACTGAGACTGTAATAGCCCCGAGTACATCGAGGATTGTCTCATTAAATACATTACATTACATTACAGACAAAACATAATTTCGGGTCGAATATTTTTATTAAATGATCTTATTGTTTTTAACTTATTAATGCAAGACTTAATGCAGAAAAATAGGATATTCGCCCACGCTTCCCCATCTTCTTTTTAACGACTAAATTTGACCGAGGCCCGTCATAAAAAAGGGCCTGCCGTTATAATTATTTACCTAAGAGCGCTCTACACAAGCAACGCCAGCCAGTCAAAAACCGGCCAACGATACGATCTTTCTAGTGCTTTAATTATATCAATTGAAAATTTCAGGAGATACGAATAACCTTAATCCTTAGAGCTACTGGACGCTCGCAGCATTCGCTAGCATTCCATTGCCAGCTGCATTGCCAACATCACATATGCATTTATTTGAGTGCATCATAGTTAGTTATAGTTGACAATAGATAAACCGGCCTTAGTAAACCCACGCCTCATCATCCTTCCCAGTTCCCTTCCAAGCGGCCACGCTACCGGCCGCCGCGCCGGGCCCACCACCGCGATATGGAACAGGCCGGCTGGAGTGCGTCATTTGCCTGCGGCAGTGCCCAACCGCGCCGGGGCTGTTTGACAGGTCACCCACACCGTGACCTCGCCACCCCGCCCCCCCCCTAGCCCACCTCCCCAACGGGCCAGCTCGGTAGTGACCTCTCCTTGAATTTGACATGGACTCGACTAAGGCTCAACGCCATCTAGTTACGTCTGGAGATCCTTACTAGATCCACTGTACATATAGCACACTAAACACCTCTCCCTCCCCTCCCCTCTCCTCCTGCCGGCGAAGATGGTAGAGTAACCACTGTCAGCGAGGGTTATAAAAATACCGATGAACTGATTTTAAATTATGTGGTTCCGATGAAAATGAGCGGCTCCATTTCCCATTGAGTTATAAGGCCTACCTACGTGACCTACCTGACCCCAAGTGGTCGGTATGAAAAGGAAAATCTGTAGCTGTACAAAGCACCATGTAGAGCCAGGAAACTTGCAGCCTGCTGAACACGTTTTGCAGATGTTTCCTGGCATTGAAAGCGTCGCTAATTGTAGCACTATCAAATCTGTGAACTGTGCAGTGTAGGTAGAGATGTTCATTTATGACGTCATATCTCGTTAGCTGATATTTAACATGCCGATGTCTCCAGCTGACAACATGGGTTGGATAGGAAATTGAAGGAGATATATTTTCAAAACAGACAGTCATGCATTCTGTTATTTGTTATAGATATATTATGATCTTTCGTTTATTAATTTTATTTGTATTTCTATATTTTTGATTGGGACACTATAATTTAGGTGCTTATAGGCATTTATTTAGTGGCAAAAATTTCATTGGTTTATTGCTTGATTACGAGCGAGCGAGCGAATGTGGCAACTACCCTCCCCCCATGTGCGGGCGAGGGTTATGCACGTGCCACGTGCAAAACAAAGAGGTGTCAGTTTTGCAGCAAGTGCAATATCTCCAAAAGCACTGGGCCGATTGCGCTGAAACTTGGCATGTCTAGGTATATAGGTAGGCACCAGATATGTCAATCGGATACCATTTTTGGTATACCGATACCAAACCGATACCAACTTGGTATTTGGTATTTAAATCCTAATGTGTTTGGTATTTTGTTGGTATCATGATCCCTCCCTAATGTATAAGAGGCTGAGAAATTGGTAAAATTTGGTATTTCCCTCATGTTTCCAAGTTGGTTTGGTTTCGGTATTTCCTCATGGTTTTGGTTGGTAGGTATTTGATTTGGTATCGGTATTCCGATTTTTCGTAATTGACATCACTAGTAGGTACTAGTGGTGTCAATTACGGAAAATCGAAATACCGATACCAAACCAAATACCAACCAAAACCGTGGGGAAATACCCAAACCAAACCAACTTGCGAAAATGAGGGAAATACCAACTTTATACCGATTTCTTAGCCTCTTATACATTAGTGAGGGTTCATGATACCAACAAAATAGCAAACACATTAGGATTGAAATACCAAATACCAAGTTGGTATCGGTTTGGTATCGGTATACCAAAAAGTTGGTATCCGATTGACGTCTCTAGTAGGCACCCACCAGGCAACGCATTTCCATGTTTCACGGTTGGGGTGCCGCCGCACGTGCACACGTGCAGGGGTCGATTCCAGATCTCGAGAGCGGCTGAACCGATTGCGCTCAAATTTGGACCGGTTAGTCGGGTGCCGTGCAAAAGTCAGTTTGGAGTTGGGACCCAGCTTGCACTTGCGCAAGTGCAGGGTGCCGCTTCCAGATCTCGCGCAGAGTGGGCCGATCGCGCTCAAATTTGGCTCACTGCCTTAGACCGGTTAGTAGGGTGCCGTGCACAAGTCGGTTGCAAGTACCCCTTGCCATTCCACACGTGCAAGGCTCACCCTCTCGCTCGCTTGTTTGCCGCCCCGAAAGGCGTGTTATTGGTAGTCCATATATGTAAGTAAATTTAGCTCCGTAATCTATAGGTAAACAAAAGTAATGCGACCTGGGATATCGGAACATCGGTAGTTTTCAAATGGCCAGGTGACAGCCCGGCGCTGCTATTTACTTCACTACTGTGGCATCAATGTTTTAATTTGTATATGTATGGCCTTGTTAATTGTTTATAATCACACGAGCTTTTGACTTTTTGATAATATTCAAAATATAACAGGTATTTAAAACTAGTTGTTCTTTTTACTGCGAAAAGTGTTACCCGCTCGTGCAGAGCGTTATCCAACTACTGTTCTGGTTTTCATAAACATCAATTCGCGTCATCACGTCATTTGACAAAGAAATACATCTAATTACAAACAATTTACATAATATCAAACGGCGATAACGGTTATTTCTCGAACACCCATATGACATGGGTCTCGTGGTCTACTCACCAATAGCACCTTCATGTCTGCCGCCCTGTGTGTGTGCGAGACCAGCTCTCCCGCTCTCTCCCTGTGCTCCTCCCTCTCTCCCGACACGGGCAGCACAACCCTCACCGGCGCGGCGGCGCAGCGACTGACCGCCGTCTGCCGGCCGGGCCCGTACCGCAGCGGCCAGTGACGTCACCGCCACCACCACCAGTGACGTCACACACACCCACAGTCAGCTGGCGGCGCGGGAAGTCCGGTCGGGCCGGTTCCGACCCGGCGCTCCGCTCCCGGCCCCAGACAGAGACTTTCCAGACGGCGGCGTCTGGGAAACACTGCAGCGGTGATTGTTTGGGGTCATGTGGCGGCACGCGGCCAACTGGGGGGGGGGGGGGGCGGGCCGTGGCACGTGGCACCACGGCGGGGAGGGGCACAGCACGTGCCACGGAACGGAGCAGGAACCGTCGGATATAGGTACCCGTGGCACGTAGCGCCTCTCATGGGACGGCATTGGACGGGCGAGAGGTCACAGGACTCCTTTACCACTGAGACGTTGCATATGGTCGATGGTCAATACGTAATGAGTTGGACAGGCTACTCGTATCATACATAATGCACAGCACGTTTTCGCGGATAATATATATCGGACCGGGGTGGTGGAACTGAACAATAGTCCGAATGGCCGTGCGTTTTACCCACAGAATTTCGACTTATTGCCGGAGTAAGGCTGGTGAACGATCGGAAAACCACAGCTCGGTTTAGACAAATTCAGGTCACAATGTTCTGATCAATGTCACTGTGGTAGTGACATGTTTCGAGAAGCTAATATATACCATATATTCATAACAGCAGCACATAAGATAGGGCCCATAGCTAAAAATGCGAAGCTCGGAAAGTCGCCAGCACAGTCTGCCACAGATTGGACTGTAGAGTGTAGACTGTGGAGTGTGGAGACTAGACACGCCAGAAACCATGGACTTCGCACGTGGGCCATGGACGTGAATTAGGAAAGCAAACTGAAAAATGAAGACGCTGACCACGGGGGTGGTAATGAACACCGCCTGAACCAGCCTGAACTAATGACAGATCATGAATGCGACATGTCTGGAGGTTAGGTTGTTGACCGCACTCCCAAAGGTGGCAGGGGCGCCTGGATCGGTTCCGTGTCTGATAATTGACAGCGCACAGCCATGTGGAGGAGCCCGCACCCCGTTCACCGCAGGGACCCGACCGGAGCGGTCCGCAGGGTACAGTACTTTCCCCAGGTAAACCCCGAGGAAACTGGAAGGAAGGCCGCGGAGTAACGAGAGCGGCGCTCCGGACCTCGGCTCAGCAGAACCAATCTGAATATAGACGTTCCCACATCTGCAATGCTAACAGAGATCGCAACACCAGCTGTCCGGTAGTCAGGGTGGCTGCTGTGACGTCATAATGAGCGGACAGAGCATGGAACACCAGCCGTCCGCCCGGTAGTCAGGCAGACTGTGCGGCTGTTCTGACGTCATAATGACGTCACTGGGACACAGAACAGACGGCCAGTGGCGGAGTTCCCACGACAGTGTTACGTCACCGGCGGTGTCCCCTATCTCGGGTAGCCAGGAAATGGGTGTTACGGGCTCTGAAAATAATCAGCTGGTGTTTGCAATATTTGGTGACGAGGGCCCCGCTGTCGTGCTTAGGACGCAACAGTATAACAAATGTGTCTGTGTAGGCTGCAGCCTTGCTGGGAATTTGTGATTTTGGTAACAAAAAAGTCACGACACCACGTCACGACATCGGGAACCTAATACCATTCGTGGTACTGAACGAGGCTATCAGCCATCAGGGTCCAAAGCGGCATCGTTATATAACTAGATGCCGGCAGCGCTCGTGCGTTGCCTTGGGCCAGAATTGGAGGATCCATAGCCCAATGACTTCATTAAAAAGAAAGCGTTTTGCTTTTTCTAATGATAATGATTACCGTCTAAAACGAAATAATGAGGTCGAATGCACTATGCAGCATGTCGTCTCTATTCGACCCTGTAGTCGAAATTTAACCCGCGCCCTGCTGGGGGGGGGGTGTTTGAACACCCCCCTTGTGTTTTTTGCGAATATCTCAAAAACGGCGGCGCGGAGCGCCGCCGTTTTTGGTACACCTTATCATACATCAATTCTACACATGTTGTGAAAATTTCAGACCTAGGTCATTTAAGGTCAGGTCACCAGGTCACTTGAAGTGACCTCACCTCATAAAAAGTTTCAATGTCTGTCATAGCTACACCGAATGACCGATCGCTTTGAAACTTTCAGCGATTGCTAAGAGCAATAGCATGTACAAAATGTATATCTCAGAATTTTGATATCGATGACCTAAGGTCAGGTCAATTTTGCGACCTCCCCATTATAAGTCAATGGGAGAAAATTGAAATGCGCCTCTTTTGGACGAAAGACATTATAAACACTCCCAAACACCGAATTACAAGTGGATTAGACACACTGAACATGAAAATGGTGTCCGTGACCCTAATGTATGCCCTGAGGTCATCTTAGGTCACGAATGGTATCTAACAGTTTTTCGCAAATAACTTTTGATAGGGGCATGCTAGAGCGATGAAAACGCCTTAGATGTGTTCAGCTCGACGATACAGATCGACTGATATGCAACATGACCCTTTCCGGTCAGGTCATGACCTTGACCTGAGGTCAAATTTTGAATTTGACCTTTCAAGGTCAAGTTATAGTTCATTCGATGCGTCTTGACGAGAGGAACACGATGCCGGTAAAAGTAAGCTCGTACAGGGCTTGGGTCAAAAGTTATTGCAGAAAAACTGTTTCCGAAAAAATCGGCTCTATTTTTGCAGTTTTTGCCCCCTGCAGGCAAAACCGTTGACGTTAGGTCAAATCTGAGAGAATTACTCAGAAAGGGCGTTAATAGTGCTATCGAATGCGCTTTTCCGCTTCGCTGTAGCTCTATTGGTTCCCGAGTTATGCGTTGGCTTCTTGGAAATTGTCGACATTCGACCTGGAAATCGGCGAAATTTTGCCTTCAATGACCTCTGGTGACCTGACCTTTGACCTGACCAAAAAATTGACCGAAGTGATTTCGTCATTATTTTTGACGCTCTTTCGAACGCCGCCTTCCGCGTATCGCTACGTGGCCCAGGAGCCGAGTTACAAGGGGGGGGGGTGTTCAACCCCCCCCCCCCCAGCAGGGCGTGGAAATCCAGGACCCCCAGCCGGGCGCGGGTTAATGCCCCTGTCGAACTCCAAACCAACAGATAAATTATCTCGCCGGAATGTCGTGATCAAATGTATTCTTCTTATGACCTGCAAGTTTTGAACCAGTTAGAGCTGCCGTTTACCCTGCAGGCGTGGCAACGTACGAAGGGGTGCAATCGGCTTGCACGTGCATAGCTCATGCACCACAGAGTTAAGCTCAACCAAATGTGCATTATTTTGGAGGCCTTGCCTGGGACTACCATTGAACCGATTTTGAGGTTGATAGCTTAAAATTTCTTTGAGCCAGAGGACCTCACGTCAAAACGGTTTTCCGACCCCAGCACGTGCAGCCTGCACCCCTCGCAGACGGTGACCACCCTGGAAACTGGTTCAAGGTGTTACCGATGTGTCCCGCCAGTATGGCTTTGCCGGTGACCTCGGGTTGACCTGTAGCCTTGACAAAAAATTTCGTGTCACCGAAACTTTGAAGCGGAATAGCATGTGCCACGAAGCACCGAGCGAACCAAGGCCAGCACCAAAAGTTTACCTCGCCGGAGACGAATCAAACGGTCCCACTTTCGTCCCGATCGGTCCACCCATTTTGATTCCAGGTCCAAAAAAGCTTGGACAAACTCACTCACATACTCACATACTCACTGACAAACAGGTTCAGTGCTGTTTTAGAGTCATATTTTTCCCAGGTTTATGTTTGTATGATATAAAACTTTATCGGAATTCACTGGGATTGTATTGCGGATGCAAGTCCAAATATTTCGGCCAATATTGTTTGGCCTTGGTCACTGGACAACTACAATAAATAGCCTTGAATAACCCTATAAGTATAGCTCACATTGCAGCGATACCCAAAAAAAAATTTTTTTTTGGGTATCGCTGCAATGTGAGCTATACTTATAGGGTTATTCAAGGCTATTTATTGTAGTTGTCCAGTGACCAAGGCCAAACAATATTGGCCGAAATATTTGGACTTGCATCCGCAATACAATCCCAGTGAATTCCGATAAAGTTTTATATCATACAAACAGGTTCAGCCGAACTTTTTTTCAGCGACCCACCAATGTGAATTTCCGGATCCTCCAATTCTGGATTATTTGGTCAACATTAAGGAGCCTCCGAAATTCCCACAGTGTAATGAAAAACATCGGGAAGATTAGGAGTTAATTGCTGCGGTTGCTTGTACAATGCGCGTTGTGAAACTGTGAAGCAAACTTTTGGCTCTTGCCTCGGCTGCCACACTCCACCATCCACCTTTCCTATAGTTACTTATATATTTTTGGTCTTTTTCAGTGAGCAGAGTTATCCATACTAACCCACACTAAGTGGAAGTATTGTGCACTTTTATCCAAGCCATCATCTCATCAGGGCAAATGTATGAACAAATTGTGTTACTATACTGCAAACGGGGCACCAAGTTTATGTTTAGTACATCATGATGATGATTTCCAAATCTAGTACGATTGGTCGGTTGGTATTATATAGCGTTACGTATTATCTCATCGATTGCGTCACTAAGGCCTTTGCGCACGTATACAAAGTATTCTCTGGTCTCTGCTAAATACATGCTACCAAATTTTTATTGTGCAACGTGCAGATCCGAGTTGATATTCATAACGTTGTAGGTATTTATATTTACCTACGCATTTTACTAGTGATTTAGCACAAGCAACTATCGCTTTACGCCTGTGTTCATTGTTCACCCCTCTTAACCCGGCGGCCGCTGGGCCTCCGCGCCACCCGCCGGCCGCTGGGGGGGGGGCATATAGTTGCCCCCCCCTTTACTTCTGCGACGCTATCGTCGCAACGCGAAGAGATAGAGAAGCGAAACTTTGCACACACCTTCCTGAATACCTAGCCGAGGTTGTGTCCAAATTTGGTGTCGATCCCATTTGAAATGACGTCACAGTGACGTCATAAGTGAAATTATAGATTTGCGACTCTCATATTCCTCACGATACATCAGATATATGGGACCGAATATAAAGGGTCGATTATTGGTCAGAAACTAGATGGAATGTAGTTAGATGTTTTAGGATGACAGCAAGTGCTATCTAGTTCATTTACAGTT